CCGAAGAACCCGCGCTAACTTACGCCGCAGTGGCCCGACGGCCACCGCCTCCTCCTCGCGCCTATGTCGCGCCGCCCCGACGCCAGTCTCTTGCGCCGCAGCACGACCGACGCCACGACGACCAGCCCCAGTACGCCAGCCAGGAGCCCCGTGCACCCCGGAAGACCGATGTGTGGCGAACGCCCGACCGACGCCCTCTGTGCTTCCACTGCGGGGAGGCAGACCACACCTACCGCCGATGCCCATACCGTCGACTCGGGCTGCGCGGATTCCACCCAAGCGACCCGCGCCCCCGGTATGGTGAACGCCCTCGGGAGATCGACGAGTACCTGCGACGACCCCAGTCCCCCGAGCCTGCGTCCCGCCGAGAGTTCCGGTCGCCGTCACCGCGACGTCCAGCTTCGCCGATGCACCGACCCCGACGTGAAAGCCTGTCGCCCCTCGCTCCTCGCCGGGGAAACTAGGCGCGGCAACCCCTGGAGGTGGAGTTGCCGAAGACGACCGACGTAAAGAGCCTCCACGAACGACGGAGCGCTCCCACTCTCCCGACGATACGCATCGCAACGACGCTCCTGCTTCGGTGTCCAACAACTTAAACGTTGTTATTGACGGCCTCGACTCATCGGCACTCGTGGACACCGGAGCAGACTACTCAGTCTTGAGTGGGAGGCTCTCTCGCCGCCTGCGAAAAGTCGTGACGCCGTGGGATGGACCCCAAATACGAACCGCCGGAGGACATCTCATCACGCCAGTCGGGAGATGCACTGCTCGCGTCGAGATCCACGGTGAAACGTGCCCTGTGAAGTTCGTCGTTCTGCAAGACTGTTCGAGGGAGGTTATCCTCGGAATGGACTTTCTCTGCGAGTATGGCGCCGTCATCGACCTCGGGGCAAACCAGTTGACGCTGCGGAAACCTGTTTTACCGCCGGTGGAGACCAACCCAACATCAACCGCGATCCGAGTTATCGCCGACCATGTGAACCTACCGCCGCGGTCGAGTGTTTTCGTCACCGTTATGGCCGACGCCGCCATGCACGGTGAAGCTCTTCTGGAAGGCAGCGTCCAACTGCTCCTCGAAAAAGGAATTGGCGTCGCAAGAGGCGTAACGGATCTCCAAGAAAGACGTACAACTGTTCTTGTGACGAACTTTCGAGAGGAGCCGCAGCACCTAACGAAGGGTACCACCGTGGGCCACGTCGAGGAGCTTCAAGCGCCAGCGGTGGTCACCGCAATCTCCGAGGAAACCTCGTCCCCACAGCAGAAAAGCACGACGCCGCCGCCGCTCGACATTGACCCCGAGCTCCCAGCTACGAAGCGCCGGCAACTGATTGATCTCCTTGCCGAATACAGTGACTGTTTTGCCACGACATCAAAGATTCGCCAAACACCAATGGCGAAACATCGCATTGTTACCGACGACGACGCACTTCCTGTCCACCAGTCGCCGTATCGGGTCTCCTTAAAGGAAAGGAAAGTGATTCAAGATCAAGTCCAGGAGATGCTCGACGACGACATCATTCAACCCTCAAGGAGCCCATGGGCGTCCCCAGTCGTCCTTGTGAAGAAGAAGGACGGAACCCTGCGGTTCTGCGTGGACTATCGTCGACTGAACGCCGTGACAAAGAAGGACGTCTATCCGCTCCCCCGCATCGATGATACGTTAGACCGACTGCGCCACTCCCGATATTTTTCGTCGATGGACCTGAAGAGTGGTTATTGTCAGATTGAAGTCGACGAACGTGACCGGGAGAAAACTGCCTTCGTCACTCCCGACGGACTATACGAATTCAAAGTGATGCCGTTCGGACTTTGTACAGCACCAGCCACCTTCCAGCGCGTCATGGACACCGTGCTGGCAGGTCTGAAATGGCAGAGCTGCCTCGTCTACCTGGACGATGTCGTGGTATTCTCACGAGATTTCGACGAACACCTCAGACGACTTCGAGCCGTGCTTCAAGCCATCAAGACCGCCGGCCTGTCACTCAAGCCAACAAAGTGTCGGTTCGCCTATGGGGAACTAAAGTTCCTTGGCCACGTCGTGAACAACAAGGGTGTTCTACCTGACCCCGAGAAGACCCGCGCCGTAGCTGCATTTACGCCGCCGTCTGACAAGAAGGCCGTGAGAAGATTTCTCGGACTCTGTGCCTACTACAGGCGCTTTGTTCGAGACTTCGCCAAGCTATCCGCACCGCTGACACACCTCACGAAGGACGCCGTAAAGTTCGAGTGGACAGAAGAACACCAGAGGTCATTCGACGAGCTCAAACGAAGACTACAGACGCCCCCGATTCTTGGCCATTTCGACCAGTTTGCTGAAACCGAGATCCACACCGACGCCAGTAACACCGGACTGGGTGCGGTACTAGTCCAAGTGCAGGACGGAGCCGAGCGAGTTATCGCATACGCAAGTCGGACGCTGTCTAAAGCGGAGAGGAACTATTCAACGACCGAAAAGGAGTGCCTCGCTGTCGTATGGGCAATAACAAAGTTTCGCCCATATTTGTATGGAAGTTCTTTTCGCGTAGTCACAGACCACCACTTGCTCTGCTGGCTAGCGAATCTGAAGGACCCCTCCGGACGCCTCGCTCGGTGGAGCCTACGACTGCAGGAGTTCGACATGGCCGTGGTGTACAAGTCCGGCCGGAAGCACAATGACGCCGACTGCCTGTCAAGGGCCCCAGTCGAGGCCGGTCCTGCCTGCACCAAAGAGGACGACGATGAGTGTTTCCTCGGCGCTCTGGATGTAAGCGACATGGCAGCACGCCAACGAGACGACCCTGAGCTGCGAGCACTCGTCGAACACCTAGAGGGGCAAGGAAGCGCCGTTCCCCGCGGTTTTGTTCGAACACTGCCAACCTTCTCCATCCGACGAGGCGTACTGTACAAGGAGAACTTCAGCGACAGCAACACGGCGTGGCTGTTGGTGATCCCTTCCAGTCTTCGAGAAGAAATTTTTCAAGCCTGCCACGATGACCCGACGGCGGGACACCTTGGTTACAGCAGGACTCTTGCGAGGATACGCGAAAAGTACTACTGGCCCAAGCTTGCGAAGACAGTACACCACTACACCCGATCTTGCCACGAGTGTCAACGAAAGAAGAAGCCACCGACGAGACCGGCAGGACTTCTTCAGCCTATTGCGCCGCCATCTGCCCCATTCCAGCAAATCGGTATGGATTTACTCGGACCTTTCCCACCGTCGACGCAAGGAAACCGATGGATAATCGTCGCAACCGATTATCTCACGCGGTACGCCGAGACAAAAGCCCTTCCATCAGGAACGGCTGTTGAAGTCGCCAAGTTTTTCATCGAGTCCATTGTCCTCCGGCACGGCGCTCCCGAAGTCCTGATCTTAGACCGTGGATCATCATTCATGGCCCAGCTGACGCAAGAAGTCCTTCGTCTCAGCCACACCAGCCATCGTCGCACCACGGCGTACCACCCGCAGACCAACGGGCTGACGGAGAGACTCAACAAAACCATCGCCGACATGATCTCCATGTACCTCGACGTGGAGCACAAGACATGGGACGAGGTGTTGCCGTACGTCACATTTGCCTACAACACGGCCGTACAAGAGACCACCGGAGTGACACCCTTTCAACTGGTGCATGGGCGCAAAGTAACGACCATGCTGGACGCGATGCTGCCCCATGAGCCAGATGACAGTGAGAGCGACGACGCCCAGGTGGTTGCTCAACGGGCCGAAGAAGTCCGCCAGCTCGCCCGACTCAGGATTCAAGACCAGCAACGCGCCGACGCGGGCCGCTACAACCTTCGTCGCAGGGACGTTCACTTCCAGCCCGGAGACAGGGTGTGGGTTTGGACGCCCATCCGTCGCCGCGGCCTCAGTGAGAAACTGCTGAAACGGTACTTTGGACCATACAAGGTACTTCGTCGCCTCGGCGAGCTGAACTTCGAGGTGATGCCCGACGGAACACGAACATCGTCACGCCGCCCACCACGACCTGAGGTCGTCCACGTCGTGCGCCTGAAGCCGTACTACGCTCGATAGGACTGTGGACCTTTTGTGCTCCAAAAGACTCTTTAGTTTATCGTTCTTTTTTATTTTGATTTGTTTTACACTGCATCGGGGCGATGCACTTTTAAAGGGGGGAGTAATGCCGCGCGCAAGGCTGAGAAAGAAACGCTCGGTCACGGTCCTCCAGAAAGTTCCCGTTTATTCATGTACCGCACGTAACTTCTATCATTTATCCCTGCTTTTGTTTTCTAGAAAGTACGTGTTCATTCTCGCCCCGATCACGCGACGCTCGAACCGCTTTCGCCGAATCTTCGAGATAGCGGCGCACTCTAGATAAGAGGCCGCCCGCGACCTTGTCGAGTCAGTCTCGCCCTAGCGCTCGATTCTGCTGACACGCCGACTTCGACGCCCGCGACGCTCTGCTTTCTTCTGTCTCCTTCTTTATTTTTGGCACAAGTTCGCCACATTAAACGTTTATTTATTCCTGTCTATTTCTTGTTTATTAGTCACCACCCGTGACAATATCAGGTCGCGACCTTCACTGCAAAGGTCGTGACCTTCGTCGTGACCTTCACGAGTAACCTTCATCCCAACTGACGTCACGTATGACGTCACTGGGGACCGTTATGACATCAACACGTGACGTCACTCATGATTTCCGCATTGCATTATGGGAGGTTTCCCATTATAACGTCACGCGTGTACATCGTGACGCCATTGGTGACTCTCGTGACCCTCGTGATCTGACGTGTGACGTCATCATGGGAAACGTCCCATAATGCAATGCGTGGGTCACGAATGAGACCCGCGCGTTCCATTATGTGACGATTCCCGTAATGCAACGCACGGTTACGCCCACGCCGACGGTGATACCGCTCAAGCCGGAAACGGGCGCCTATGAGCTGCGCTCTTAAAGAATAGAACTCATACTGGTGTTCTTTTTCTAACGGAGTGGGTCAGGTAATTTCGAAATATACTATAGACACGCATTGCAAATAATATCAAGACCAATATTCACCTGCGACGAATATTTTCAGCTTTTCCTCTGTGATTTCACTGCTAGGTTTCTTCAACACAACAAAAGCCTTTGCTACTTTCAGATATTCTGGATGAGGAACGCCAATCACTGCAGCGTCTGCAATTCCTTCATGGCTGAGCAAGACCCGTTCAATCGAGGAAGGTGCCACGCGGATCCCCATACACCAGAACACATGGATGGTCCTTTCAACGAAGAAGAAATGGCCATCTTCATTGTAATAGAGAATGTCACCTGAAAGCGATTTCTACTAATCAAATCTGAAACGCCACTCCACGTCAAGTAAAGTCAAGTAGAAACAAGAAGCTTGGCATATGAAAGAGCAAACGTCCAGACTTACGGTGTAGAATCCAAAATGTTTTTCTTTTACGTTTTACAGATTTGTTATCGAGAAACCGTGAAAGCTACCTTAATGCGGTCTGTACATGTGAGTTATACGGTCAGGTGGCCATATGATAGGGAACTAACCGTCATAATGAGTAGGTTAATTAACTAAAACGTTTATTTAACTTAATAATTACTGGAGATATGAATATTGTTCAAAAATATAATCATGCTGGGAGTCACTAAAATCTGGTTAATCAGTAAATTTTGTCGAAATTTCGAGGGCTTGGCAAAGACGAGTGGTGCTCTAAATTTACAACTCGTGCTACTGTCGCAAAACTGATAATCCAAAAACGAAAAAAAAAAAAAAAAACTAAAGGATGCGCGCGTGCGTGTTGAATTTAGAAGCATTTTGGAACCCAGTAAACAAAACCAGGCGCATCCAATTAAACTTTTTGAAAATTCACTAATTTTTGTTTTTCGATGACACAAACTAAATATTTCTCATTGAAACCATGTAATTATTTTCAATGATTAAAACGTTATTTAACAAATTTAGTGATGATAAGTAAAATTTTAACAAATTTCACCTATTGTCACAATTATACCTATATATAATGTCCATCTAACCGTATAGCGCACCTGTACAGAATGCACTAATGCATCTGTAGCGGCGCTTTATTGACAAAAATATATTAAGCTGAAATTAAACACTATTTTTGTTATAAACCGTCTTTTGGAGTCATTGATCTAAATCTCAGCTCTGAACCTTCTCACCTCTTTCTGCGGAGACTTCATTACTGAGGTCAAGAACGATACCGGTAAAATATATCAAAATGTGCGAAAATATTGTGATGGTGAAGCTGACATATAGTACAGTCAAAGATGTTATAACGTGTTTTACGCACTCAAGAATCCAAGCATTTCTAACGAAGAGTGCGTGTTAAGGCAAGTTCGTAAATGACGCGGCTAAAACCAGGGCTCCCTCAATAACCTGATGAGAAATATGATGAGCGGTCATTAATTTTTTTTACAGCAAATGTTCAAAGGTTAATTTAAGTTATATTTTTTAACATTAATACCTTAATGCGCAATAACATTTCTTCGTATATATATATATATCGTACCTGTTTTGTGGCCGCTTTAAAATAAGGTTTATTTTTAAATATTTATTCTTTGAAATCTTTTCTAGAGCAGACTACGAGCTGCAAACTATAATGGAAATAGAGTATCCAACTGTTTCTAAGTACTTCCTATTCACTTAATATCACTTATAATTTCGTAAAGGTACATATTTGAAGCGGAGATTTTTTTTTGCTCTGGTACTGTCTCATAAGCCAAATGTTTTCTATAGGTTCATTGTATGCCAGACCAATCTTGATTAGGATACTACGCGTTTTTCACTTCATTAATGGTAATAGCTGGTGAAAATACCTGTTTGCACCCAACCATCAATGATGGTCTTTGATGTTGCTTCGGGATTTCCATAATATCCCTTCATAGCACGCGGCGTTTTCACTAATGCCATTCCTTTTTCGTTTGGTCCAAGCACGTCCCCAGTCTTCACGTCCACTATCTGGCAAATAAAAAAAAATATATATATATTTCTTTGGCGCATCATACAATATAATAAGCTATAAAACTCCGAATTAATATCCGTAAGTTCAAATAACACGCGGTTTGGAAACATTCGTCTTTGCATGTTTTCACGCGAAGCAGTAGACATCATGATTTACAATTTTAAAGCATTGCATTAGATTATGCTAAAATGTTTAAACATATATTGTATTTTCATTTTTCATTTTATTACCTTAAGGACTCCGTTAGCTGTATTACATCAGGGGTGGGGTCACATATAAAAGCATTTTTAAGAGACATTCATGTCGGAAGGTGGTTTACGACAGTCTCCATTAATAGGGATGGACATGTGATGGCGACGTCGTGGTGGGGAAGGCCGTTCCAGTCTGCTGCTGCTTGAAAAAAAAAAGGAGGCTAAAAAAGTAGTAGCGCGGGCACGTATGAGCGTTACTTGAAGTGGATGACCAATGCGTGGAGATATGCGTGATGGCGGGACAATGTAAGGTGCATGGTTGAGGGAGCCGTAGTAAAACTTGTGAAAGAGGGAGAGGCTGGAAGTGCGACGGCGAAGAGAAAGAGGTGGCAGGCCTCAGGCCGAGAAAGAGGTGTCAGGTCGGATTCTGCTTTTAAAGATGAAACGCTGATATCATATGAATAGGCAGAATGAATGAACCTTGTGGATCGAATTTGAACAGATTCAAGTTCATTACTAATATGTGCTTCGTAAAGGTTCCAGATGGCAGATGCGTATTCGAGTTTTGATCTCTCAAGTGTTTTGTACGCAAGTAAACGTACGTGCTTCGAAGCATGGCGTAGATTACGTTTAAGAAATCCAAGGACTTTTTTTTTTGCAGCTGATACGACGTTGGTAGTATGCGCGCGCCAAGCTAGATCGTTCGACAGTGTTACACGTAGGTATTCAGATGATTATGCAGATTCGGCAGTGACGCTAGCCATTGTATAGGGAAAAAGAAAGGGGTTACTACGTAGAGAAATATAGAACTACGTAAAAAGTGGCCACTCAAGCCGCTTCGTGGCCCAGGAGTTAGGGACTCTACTGACCGTTAGTAGGCGCAACAGTGTCACATGACCTGAACATTTGTCAGATATATAATATTAATAAATAACTTTGTTGTATAGAGTCAACCTTTAAAGTTATTACGAACTTTGAAAACTTTCAAGAACGACTTCAACAGCTTTGGCTACGGCTGCGGCCCGACGGTTGGCTTCGGAGTCGTGGACTCGACGGAGGGCGGATACTTCGGCTGCTTGGTTTGTGTCTCTTGCCTCGTTGTGTGGGTTGAGTTGGTTCCGCGGCTTGTTGTCTCGTGCGGCTTTGTAATCATTCTTCCGTCGCGGTCATGGTATACGGTATACGTAAGAAGTCTTGTGACTGTAGTTTCTTTTTTGACGGACATTTGCATTCGGTCACTAAATTTAGAAGCCACTGGGCCAGATTGTTCTTTTATTGTTGCTGTATCAGTCACAGGGTCAAATGTGCAAGCGCTTTTCATGGAACTTGGACGGTAATTTATTTGAATGCCCTCCATCATATTGCATTTGTAGCTGTAAGTCTCGCTGTAATACAGTACTTTTTTTCAGTGTTGCACTGTTGACGCGTTAGTCATACATCTTGCATGTGCATGGGCGTACCAACCCGGGGGGGGGGGGGGGGGGGCAAGGGGGTCGCTTGCCCTCCCAGCTCTTCCGGGGGGGGGGAAGGGGGGGCAAGGCTTGTGTTTTGCCCCCCCCCCCCCTCGAAACAGCCGCCAATGGGCAGGGCAAACACTGGCCAGCGGCGCCCAAGGGAAACCAAGGGTACCGCCCCCAGCCCGGGGGGTAGGGGTCTGGTTTGCCCCCCCCCCCCTCTCCCGCCCACACACACACTCAAAAACAAGTTGGTACGCCAGTGTGCTGTAATATATGGATAACATACATCACTCATCGTCTTCAGAGCTGTTGTTTGTTTTGCTTGTCATAGTTACAAAAATAAATGCTTTTGTGTGTCAATCCCTGCTGTCGTCCCATGTCACCCCTTCAAGAGAGTTATCACAAATGTGAAAATATCCTTTTCGGTGTGCGGTCAGTTTGAATTATATGTAGCGCTGGATGAATTCTCTTCTGTAGAACAATTAAAGTATACTTATAAAACAATCCTATTTTAAACAAAAACCATATACTAGTTAAAAAAAACACCGGTTCCTAAAACTAGAGGGCGCACGCTACTGCCCGACACAAAAATACCGCCATAATTCGTTTTGATTCCATTCATTCATCTGGCCAGCGGTTACTGCGCGTATCAATCCATTCAACACTCAACTAGGGACTATACTGGCCTCTGGGTGCGCCCGCTGACACTGGATTGGGCCGCTGGTGCCTATGGAAGTGTACGCTCTTTACGTAGTACTATATTTCTCTACGGTTACGGCGACGATGGAATGATACAAGTTTACATTTTCTGGGACTAGGGGTCATTTGCCAACAGTCGCACCATTCTTGCACATGGTTAAGGTCATTCTACAGGCATGTCTGGTCAGAGATGTTGGTGATTTCACGATAAATAACGCAGTCATCCGCAAAACATACGAATGCGGCATGACAGATGCGATGGTAAGTCATTTATGCATATTAAGAACAGGAGGGGCCGAGGACAGATCCTTGTGGGACGCCTGATGTTACTGGGAGAGGGTTAGATGAGTGGCTTTTAACAAAGACAAACTAAGAGCCATTAGATAGAAATTCCTTGACCCATTGAACAATAGCAGTGTTTAAATTTAATTGGGAAAGTTTTAGTAGGAGGGGCTTGAGCGGTACTTTGTAGAATTCTTTGGCAAAATCTAAAAAAAGCGTGTCAGTTTGAAGGTTATGGTCAAGATTAGAATGAAAGTCATGAACGAAGAGGGCAAGGTGAGTTTCGCAAAAGAAGCCCTTACGAAACCTGTGCTGGGAGGGGTGAAAAAAGTCGATAGAGTTTAGGAAATTAATTATTTGAGTGTAGATGACGTGTCCCATGGCTCTGCAAGGGACGCTTGTTAAAGAGAAGGGACGGTAATTTAGTGGGGAGTCCTTGTTACCCGATTTGTAGTGTGGAACGACCCTTCCCAGCTTCCAGTCGTCCGGTAAGATGCCTGTGGAAAGTGATTGTGAGAACGACATGATAATGTACACGGCAGATATACGTTTGGTATTTTTTTTAAGTTTTGAGTTAATTCAGTCAACGCCGGCTGACGATGAGAGTTTGATATTTTCAATTAATGACGAGATGCCATCTACAGAAGATGTGAGAGCTGGCATAGTAGATACTCCGTTAGAAGTTATTAAATAAGGAGGGACATCAGTTTCTTTCGTCAAACACGGAAAAGAAGGCCGAGTTAAAAGCATTTGCGCTCTCAGTGTCAGTGACTATTTCGCCCGCTCGGTTCGTCAGGCTAATGATGCCCGTCTCTTGGGGATTTATAACTTGCCAAACTTTTTTACAATTGTTAATTAAGATCTTCGGTGAGTCATCATAAAAAAAGGAATGCTTTGCGTTACGTATAGATACCATATAGGCGTCTTCAGCTGCGTAGTATTTTTCCCATGCGCAGTGGTTTCCATTCCGCTTGGCCAAGCGGAAAAGACGTTGTTTTAGAGAGCAGCTCTTAGGGGCCCGTTCCCGGCTTGAGCGGCGTCGGCGTCGGCGTCGGCGTCACCGTCGGCGTCGCTGTCGGCGTTGGCGTCGGCGTAACCAAGGTCACCCCAAGGTCACGTGACCCCCCAGGGGTCATGTGACCCCTCCCTCAGGGTCACGTGACCCCCCCCCCCCAAGGTCACGTGACCCCCCCCCCCCCCGCCGAGGTCACGTGACCTCCCCGATGACGTAGTGGTCACTGATGACGTCACCGGCATCCGCATCGTCATCATCACTGATGACGTCATTAGTTACGTCACTGATGACGTCATCAGTTACGTCACTGATGACGTTCCCGGCATCCGCATCGTCATCATCACGGATTACGTCATCAGTGACGTCACTGATGACGTTACCGACATCCGCATCGTCATCGTCATTATCGCTGATGACGTCATCGGAGTCCGCATCGTCATCGTCACTGATGACCTCACCGGTATCCGCATCGTCATCGTCATCATCACTGATGACGTCATCAGTGACGTCACTGATGATGTCACCGGCATCCGCATCGTCATCATCACGGATGAAGTCATCAGTGATGTCACTGGTGACATCATCGGCATCGTCACGTGACCCCCAAGGTCACGTGACCCCCCCAGGTCACTTCACCCCACAGTACCCTTCCCTCCTCCTCCTCAAGAGCTGCGCTCTAATTCGGTGTTACAGGGAGTTGTAAATGGCTTTCACTTTTTTTTTGTTATCTAGTTTTTTTAAAGACTTTGTGAACAGGGTTTCTGTCGATTCTCACGGAACGTAATTATTGGGATGAATTTATTTGCAAAGTTTATTTAATTTATTTCTGAACATTATCCAGTTTGTATAAATAGAGCGATTAAAAATGATGCTTCAAAAATTGGAAAAAAGGCGTTTAGCTCCCTGTTCATTACTTCATAATTTCCCTTATCATAAAGACGAATTCCTTTATGGCGTGTTTGGCGCCGTACCGGGCAAAAGTTGAAGGTAGCATGAATTACTTTTTTGTCGCTGATTTCGCGGAGATAAGTAACCGATGATAGGCTGTCGGAATGACTGGTTAGTATTACATCTAAGATGTTTCCAGAATCCCGTGAAACACATGTGGGTTCAGGTACTAGTTGAACAAGGTTAAAATCAAGACATACGGTAATAAAATCTTTTGCGGCTTCGTTGCCTATAGCTGAGGGGACCTGGTTGCTATAGTCTATTTACGGGTAATTAAAGTCTCCAGAGAGAAGGATATGTGCATTCGGGTACGTTCAGGCAAATTCACTAAAGATGTTATTCAGTTTACAAGAAAAGTCAGGAGAATTATGGGGAGACCCGTAGCAGACTCACAAAAGACCGTG